AAATTGGTTATAATCACAATGAGAAAATTTCACATTTATTATTATGAATTAGTCGTCTAGGATTATGATGATTTGAGTTTGTCTATGTCTGTATGGAGGATTTAAGTATACATAAAGATAGCCGTGCATGTTTTTTGCATTCTCAATCTTTGTTGATATGTGTTAAGATCCCATGCTACATATGTAACTAATAGCTGTAATTTAGCTATTTTAATTTTTATTTTAAATAAGTCTATAAAATTATCAAGATTTTCAAATTTTATATACATTAGTCCTCAATTATTAGTTTATTGCTAACTTCTGATTTTTTTTAACTAAAGTTTTAGTGTTTTAAGTTGTAGGAGTTGTTGCGGTTGGAGACTTAGATTATTGACAATTTGTTTGATCATCGGTATAATTTTCTATTGCCTCTTTCAATATTTAATTTTTAGTGCTCTTTATAATGAGATTTCTTTTTAAAAAATTGTATCTGTGGGATTTGCTAGGGTTGGAGAGTTAGATTATTGACAACCTGTTAATCCTCCATATAATTTTCTATTGTATCTTTCAATATTTAATTTTTACTCTTCTTTATAATGAGAAATTTTTTCAAACTTATATTTGTAACGAGATTTTTTATGATCACAGATGCCCGATAGTGTTTGAATTTTAATTTTTTTGTACAAATCCAAATCACTAAAAATTTTAGGCGTGTGTTCATCAAACATAGGTGAATCTTTGAAAAATATCAAAAAAATATTTACATGAAAACAATTGATCAAAATACCCCCATAAAGTTTTGGGGGTATTTTGATCAATTTGTTTTTTGCGGATTATTTTTTTAAATTTTTATTAGGTGTAGCTTGATGAAAAGAATACACATCTAAAATTTCAAATGATTTGGATTTGTAGAAAAAATTAAAATTCAAACACGAAATGAGGTCGTGACCGTTAGATCGGCCAAGATTCAATCTTGGCTGTTTGGCTCATATATATATATATATATATATATATATATATGTGTGTGTGTGTGTGTGTGTGTGTGTGTGTGTGTGTGTGTGTGTGTGTGTGTGTGTGTGTGTGTGTGTGTGCGTGTATGTGGATAGGTATGGACGTAAAATGATTAGCAACTTAGGTCTTCCTCCCAGATGTCACATCTTAATTGGATGGTTGAAAATATATAACTAAAAATTTAGGGGTATATACTTGACACCATATCTCACTATATAAAAATTATATAAAATAATATTTTAAAGTTTTTAAATTATCAAATTATCTCATCAACATTTTTAGTGGTATTTTGGTCATTTTAAATTATATAAAATGTTTTTTTTATATTTTTTCTCTTATACGCCCTAAGTTTTAGTACACATGTCCAAAATTCCATCTGATCCATTTTGCAGAAAAAATATTAAAATTTAAATAGTTATACGTGTTTTGAACCATCCGATCAAGATTTGATAGTTGAGAGTAGGACCGAAGCTATTATTCATTATAGGTCCATATATATATAGGGAGATATGAGGATTTATAGTCTCACTGAGGACGTAGCCTTTTAATAAAACAAAATGGAGAACCAGTATTCATGTAGCAGACCCCAATTAATTGGAAAAATACTAAAACAATATATATATATATATATATATCCTGTACACCCATGTGTGTACTGCCACAATAAACACCCAATGACCCAGATCTGACAGTCACGACCTCATTTTGTGTTTAAATTTTAATTTTTTTTGTACAAGTTCGAACCACTTGAAATTTTAGACGTGTGTTATTAAAAAAATAGGCGAATCTAATAAAAATATCAAAAAACTATTTTACATGAAATAACTTTTTGGGGGTATTTTGGCCAAATTTTTTTTTACGAATTATTTTTGTGATATTTTTATTACGTGCGCCTTGATGAGAATAACATACGCCTAAATTTCAAGTGATTTAGATTTGTAAAAATAAAAATAAAATTAAAACACGAAATGAGGTTGTGACCGTTAAATTTGCTCAAATTCAATCTAGGTTGTTGGGCATATTCTTACAGGTACACCCATCGACGTACCGTATCATCTTATATATATATATATATATATATGTGTGTGTGTAAGAGAGAGAGATTGATTTCATGTGGCTATAATATATAGTGAAACACACTTTCAAATTTTGTTTTAGAAGTACTTATTTGACACTAATTTTTTAGCATACGATCAATTCACTAAAATAAATTTTTTAACCTACACTGAATTGTGTTAGACTTAAAATCAAATTTGTTTATATTCTAAATTGTTTGTCTAATGATAACAAAGTCATCTAAAATAATCTGGGAAATAAACAAAATTCCTAGATCTAAACATCTCACTTAGCCTACATGAGTTAAAAGAGTTAAAACATTTTTAAGTTTTATTTTGTTACTTATGGCCGTTCATCAAAATGAAAATAGTACATCTTTAAAAAATAGGGTCAAACAAATGAGTACCATATTTTTTTGAAGATTGTTTGATTGTATTAGTATAAAACTGTTACCTGGAGTCATCACCCTTCTCTTCTCTCTCTCAGTTGGTGGGAGCTCATAAGAGAAAGAGGGTAAGCTACCATGGCGGTGGCTTGTCTTGAACGGTAGCATAGAATTAGGATTTCGTTGAGGGCAACAATGAGTTGTTAAAGTTTAAGGTAGTGATTCTAATTTTAGAGATTCCAGATGTATTTTTTCTTGAAAAAACTCCTCTCATGATGAAGTACATCTATCATATGTCGTGCATATTCCTATAGAATAATTGCCGGCCAAAAGGCTTATATTAAAAAAAAAAGAGCGGTGTGTTAAAATTGTAAAAGTGTATTTTTAAAAAATCATATTAGTTTTATTGTTTTATTTTGAGTGTTGTAGTGACATTATATTTGTAAAAAAAGCTTTTTATGTTATCCCAATAACATAGAAGTTCTATCCTCCCCTTATCCAACCGTCCATTTTTTAATGGAGGGCTAAGATTGCCCCAATCACAATGTCACGTCTCTACACTGTTTTATTTTTATAAACTATTTTGACACCAAATTTTGGACGGCCATTCGTCTATTAAACTCGCACTAACGAAAACTATAAAAAAAATATTTTCAATAACATAAAATAACCAAAATACCCCTGAAAGTTTCAAGGGGTATTTTGGTTGTTATTTTTATCGATAATTTATTGTTACTATTTTTTATAGGTGCACCCCAATGAAAATATGACACGTACCAAATTTCATGTTCAAACATTTTGTATTAAAAAAAACTAAAAATAAAATACTTTGAAGCATCGGATCTAAGATCAAACAATGAGTAGCTCTATTGATAAAAAATGGACGGCTGGTTAACAGGGGGAGGATATAACTTCTATGTTGTAGGGGAACATAAAAAGCTTTCCCATATATTATAACTTTGTACAATAAGAAATTATAGAACTACTAGGTGGTCAGTAGTTATGGTTGCAAGTGGGTAGCTATTATAGTAAATATGGTTGTAAAAACATCTATTTAAAGAGATGTGTGTGGTGAGAAAATGGAGCCACATGTGCTAAGGTTAATCTTGGGTGTCAATGTTGTAATGCTTTTGTGTACTCTATTTTTCATCTTTGAATTAAAGTTTTTCTTCCACCTTATATTGATTGTTTTTCTTCTATCTTTTTTATTGTGAGTCTTGAGCTAGTGTGACATTGTTACATTAATTGAGAAGCAAATTGTTATGGTATTATGACATCCGTCTTTCTCCATAGACTGATGATAATAGACTCGTTTGATTTCATATTATTATATGAGTCAATTTTTTTTTTAATATTTGAAGTTCATAGATGAGGGCTATGTGTATTTAGAGCCCATCACACTCGTATTCTTTTCAAATAAAGGTGCACGACAAGCAAAACAAGTATGGCTCCATGATCGGCTTAAAATGAATAGTGGAGACTGCAAGCAAAGAAGGTTGTTATAAGCTCTAAAGATAACTATTACAAATGCCAATAAAAACTTAATTGTATATGATTCCCCAAATATCAAGATTTAAAAGAGACCATTGTGTCCATAAATGATACAATGAACACAAAAGTTGGATGCACGTAAGTTGAATTCCCTCTCATTTGACATTTATTCATCTGTGTTTTCTTTTTATTCCCAAGGGATTGTCTACTATAATTTTTCATTTTTGGTATAAATAGGTTACAATTACATTTAGTCATTAGATGTAAAATCTGAAATGTATCACAATACCCAAAAAACTTTATTTTAGACTTTGTGCCCAGACAATGTTATATCTCCAACTGTCTAATTCTACACATAACTGCCAATAATAATTGTGACATCATTAGCTAAAAAATAAACAGTTTTTATTATATACATTTTATATTTTCATCATGCGATAGGTTAATAGAATGAAAGCCCAACAAACAAAAGAAGCAAATCATATCCCACTCGAATTTTCCCCGAAACAAACGTCTACCACCATGTTGCCAAAGTCCTCTCATCAGTATCTTCTTCCCTTGCACCATCGCATGCTCGGCTCGAGCACCCCAAGATGAATAAACTAATCCCGTAGAACCATACTCCACACGGAGCAAACAACACCTTATCATTAAATACAAGGTACGGTTTGTATAAGGTTGATAATGCGTTATACGATACATTGTTTTCAAAACTTGAAATTTATTTTTTTAAGTTTCATATATCTCAAGGTCGAAATGATTAGATTTAAGGGTTTTATGGAATCAAAACAACTTTTTATAGTGAAAATTTGATGTGCACCTTAATTTATTGTTTAGGATCTCAACTTTATATAAATTTTTTCCTTTAAAAAATGGTAGGTTCTCTACCATCACAAATGCCTGCTGTTTATTTAAGGATGGGTATCATAGTGCAATAGGAATGGGCATATTCGAGGTGAGTAAGGCAGCGCGGCCGCAATGTGGCGCAAGACGGATTAGTACCTGAATGAAGCTATGCTTTAAAATAGTAGTCCATTCATGAAATTTTATCGGACGGTGATGACCAGAGTTTACATGGAACTTTTAACACTTTGAGCGGTGCTCATCAGAATATGGACCTTTTACAGGGTGCGGTTTTCGACAACGTAATGCCCCAAACGCGCGCCATTTGTCTGTTTCCGGTTTTCACCAAACCAAAATTCATTCGAGAGGGAGACGGGCACGGATGTTTCATTGACTGGAATGTCAAATCCAATTTGAGAGAGAGAGGGAACATAATTTTGGGCATTATAGCAATAGGAGGGGGTGCAAGATAGAGAAAGCATGGCCAGAAGGGCATGGGCAGATCACATGCCACTGAGCATGGCACATGGACATATTGGTCGCCTGGTAAACATTTGGGCCTTGGTGATGGAGTTTGAGATTCCCAAAATGAGTCAAGGAACTGGTATGCTAATCCAACCAGTTAGTTCTTGGCTTCCATTAAAACAAAACAACTAGTTGTCTAGATAGATTTGAAGGCAAAATTGCTCCCTCTTCTTCATATCTATATAGACCAGTACGAATATGATTGGCTGCGTGCGCACATGCTTGTGTATATGTTTTTATTGGAATTCCGTCGTTTTATTGGTCTTGATTGATAGATTATGTTTATCTCACAGATTTCGTGTGTGTACTGAAGATCATGGATATGTCGAATAAAGAGCTATCTGCAAATGTTTTCAACCCAGTCAGGGATTGCTTGCCGCACGTAAAGTCCAATGGAGATATAATTCATCTACGCGATGTTCCGGTTGCTACTCTTACATTTTATGCTCAGCTTTGTTTCTTGATTGAATTTTTCTTTGATCCTCTCTCTCTGAACTTGTATTCTCTTTGGTAGTTGTGGATACAATGCTTGAGAAAAAAGTACTAACACAATGCTTGTTTAATTTATTGAAGAAGAAATATACAATGTTTAAAATCAATGCTGCATTTGTAATGTTGGGTTTCACAAGATCTTTTTAATTGTGAATTTGTGATTTGTAATTTAATTCATGCTGCTTATATTTAATTGTAATTTTCTTTTATCTTTATTTTGCTAGCATTTGTACATAGAAATTTTTAATGTCATATAGTTGTTTTTAATAGGACGCCAGTTAGTTGGGAAAAAACTTTGACAATGATGATGATGGTTATTTTTTATTGCCGCATACCAATGAAGCTGAAAGGCAATTTCTACAAGGTAGCTGTTAGACCGGCTTTGCTCTATGGGGTGAAATGTTGGGGAGTTAAAAAATAATATACTTATAGAATGAGTGTAGCGGAGATGAGGATGTTGAGATGGATGAGTACAAGATAAGAAGGGATAGAATTCGAAACGATTACATTCGAAAAAATTTAGGTGTGGCACCAATAGGCGATAAGATGAGAGAGAGTAAACTTAGGTGGGTTGGCCATGTGTGGTGCAGACCCAGTACAATACTTGTTAAGAGGTGCAAGTCAGTTAAAGTAGAAGGCTAAAAAAGGCTAGGGTTAGGCCCAAAAGGACATAGTTGGAAGTAGTGAGAAAGATATGAGGACTTATGACCTCACTGAGGGAATGACCCTTAATAGAGTAGAATGATGGACTAGGATTCATGTAGCCGACCCCAATTAGTTGGGAAAAAGGCTTTGGCGATGACGATACAATTGTTTTTTATATATTCACGAAGGGAATTGAGGGTAGGACGTTATGCTGAGGTCTGCTCCCCTCCCCTAACTATCGATCTCATATGGAAATTGTTAGGTCTATAATTCTTATGGTTGGTGCATTTCATCTTCAATTATAAGTATGAACTTGAAAAATTTGAATGAAAATAGGCACAGCAAAATTAGAAGCTTGATATGTTAGTCTCCAAAGTTAATTCCAGAATTTTATTTTTGACCTTGGAAACTTATCAAACCACACAAGAACATATACCATATGCATGACAAGAGTGTGAGGGTATGTTAATTTTTGAAGAAGGTCATAATATAATATTGCTTTATATACTATTTAGAATAAATCTCATGAGGAGTGGGGAAAAAGGCAGCCCACAGGTCGCGTGCCCAACAATTGTAAAATAATGGAAAAATATAAGTGATAGCATAACAAAGTCCAAAAGGTAGAGAATGGTTCCAGGCATCCCACACATTGGGTGCTCTACATTCAGTAAGTACAAGAAATAGTATAAAATAAGGGAAAAGGAAGTCTAAAGAAATGAGAAAGGTTGTACGCATCCCACATTTCGGTTGCTCTCACAAGTCAATCAGTAGAGTATAGGCATCCCACATGTCAGGTGCTCTTCAACTATCCAATGAAGTACAAGAGAGGCATAATGTGAAGTTTCCCAAGATAGCAGGGGAGGGAATCTCGAATATGGAGCAAAAAATAGCAAAGAAAAGAGATAATAGGTAGTGCCAGATGAGAAGAAATATAGAAAGAAGAAGAGCAACATAATCATAGGCTATCTTGAGTAGCATATTTATTGCCGGTTCCTTCTTTAGCTAGAACTTTTGCCGTCGCAGTGGCCTCCTGCCAAGTATGATGGAAAATGAGTCAAAACTCCATAATAAAAAAAGTGGGATAATCTCCTAGAGTGTTGGCCCCTTTGGGTGTCCCATAGAATATTGTTCTTGGAGTCTCCCTCAATGGTGAACTTTTACCCCTAATTCTAGTTGCATCTCTTAACACCTTCAGGCAATTAACACATTCTGCCCATGTTGGGTCACCTATACCAAGGAAGTCGTGGATGGAAGAGATGGTATTTCCTTAAGCATCTTGGAATGGGCCTTGAAGCCACAGGGTTCTAGGTTCTCTGAAGAACAGCCATCCAAGTTGAGCTTGATGACTCCCTGACTTGGAGGGATCCACAAGGTGGACCTCGGTATCTTTGGGGGGGGGTTGTATTTGTTGACATCAAACCAATTAAAAATAAAGTTGAACTTGGAAAAAGGTTTGAGATTTGAAGGCGGTTGACCAAGAGATGGTGAGGTATTTGGCATACTCTGCCAAGGCCAATGTTGTCCTTTTCTTTACTTTGAGAATTCTGAAGTTTCACTTTCCTTAAATGGCCCACAAAATAGCTAGGATATAAGCTCTCCATTGGAAGAGACATGCCTTGGGATAGGGAGGGGAGAAAAGAGAAAGAAGAGTTGTCCAAAAGATATTGGGTGACCCATTGGCAATTGAAATCTTTCAGTTTGAGTCTAAAGTGCAGAAGCAAGTCTACAATGAGTAGGTGAGTGGTGACTGCAATCATCATCATCATTCAAGCCTTATCTCAACTATTTGGGGTTGGCTACATGAATCCTTTTACGCCATTCTGTTCCATCAAGGGGCATACCCTCAATTAGACCATAAGTCATCATATCTTTTCTCATTATTGCTATCCATGTCCTTTTGGGCTTTCTTCTTGTCCTTTTTGAGCTTTCCACTATTAGTTTCTTTTTCTTTGAGGCACATACGACATTTGTTCGCAAGAGAGAATCCTCTTCTTTGTAGGTGATCAATAGTTAAATTACAATTGGATATTGCTAGCCTATCGAAGGCTTGAACTTTGGGTGGAATGGGAGTTAGCTATTCTTTGGCGAAAGCCAAGTTTGAACTAGGGGGAAGGCCAAGGACTTGGTGGAAAGAGGAGACACTAAAGGTTCCAGTTTGGGATTTGTTAAGAATGAAATTTGTCATTGTCTATTTGGTTACAAGGATATGTGATATGAGGCAAAGCAAGCCTAAGAAATCTTCAGTTTCAAATTCCAGCGATGTTCTTTTGGAAATGAGAGTCCAAATAGTGTTATTCTGTGAGTATTCAAGGCACTGTGCCACCATTGCATATGGTAGGGCAACAATGGCAAAAGGTTTGGTTAAGTGTCTTTGAGTAGTTGGTGACCAATTCAGGTGTGAGAACCAAATAAGACTTGATCCCCTCGGCTGACTTTGAATCTTATGCAGGACATAAATGCCGAGTGGGAGGCTGAAAGGCCTTCGTAGAAACTAGAGGAGTTGGCATTTGGTGTTCTCCAAGGGAGCCAATGCAAAGTAACTGTTCCATATTTATGGAGAATAACGTCATGCTAAAGGAGATTTTATTGGGAGGCTATAATGCCACCACCATTTACCAAAAGGTTAAGGTTCATATGTTTGAGATTGTGTATTCCCAGTCCTCCAAGGTGTTTGGTTGGCATACCTTATCCCAAGTCCCAAGCCACAACCAGAAATTTCTCTTGAATGAGTCACTAGACCAAAGTATTTCATAAGACGTTCTAAAATCTGGATAATAGCTGCATGCACAAGGTAAAGTGGCAACAAATAAACTAGGATGTTGGATTAGGTGGCCTTGATGAGGGTGATGTGACCACCGAGGGAGAGGAATCTGGCTTTCCAAAAGGCTAATCCCTTTTGAAACTTTTCAATGACCGGGTCCCACCTTTGTTTTAGCTGCTTGGATATTCAGATATACATGTATTCTATTATGAAAGATCCATATAACTTAACATTCTAGTGGGAGTACTTGCTTTTGTTTGGTGGTGCAGCTGGAACAACATAATATAATGTTGTCCACTAGGGAACCTAGATATGTGGCACTAGTTGTATGGGTGCAAAAGGGAGAAGCATGATTAAAGAATTCCTCTGAGTTGCTAAGATACAATCCCATGCAATGATGGTACGTGATGATTTTCAGCGACAACGAGTCCATGAGTCACGATGCTACATGAAAGATGGACTACGACCATGTTCGGGATGCGATCCAAATAGCAAAGAGAAATAGGCTTCATGACTCCACATAAGCTGCATCCATAAATCCTTTGTGAAAATATTGATAGCGAAAGAGTTCGCCAAGGTTAATGTAATGAGAGAGAATAAGTAAGAAATATTTGAGAGAGATTGTAATTGGGGATGAGAATATGAGGATGAGAGACTGTAAGACCTTCAAAGCCCAAGTGGGAGATGTTGGGTTACTGTGGCCATTAAAGGCCTTATGAGAGCTTGTAGTCCAATATTTGATATAGTGGAACATAAACTCAGTGGGAGTATGGTCCCTTGTGGACCAAGATAGGAAAATGCTATTTGTCAATACTCACACTTGGCTTGACATGCTAGGCTAGTCGAGTTGGAAAACCCTAATTACCTGGGCATGGAATAAAACCGATGAGGGTTTGTAGGTTCATCTCTTGATGAGGCGGAGTTGGCCAAGAGTGTGAGCCAAGAGACTGAGTGACCCTTGTGTGTGATGATAGGCCTCTAGAGACGAGGGCCAAAGCTTCATCACTGAATCATCACGTGAAATGTAAATATGATAGTCGTATCGAGAAAACGAGTCACTATTAAGGGTGAAGCATGTGCATGTGTGAGAGATTACCTCTATGCACCATAGAGCTGTGGTTGCACCAGGTCTGTGTGAATTTAGACTCGTCTCTAAGGGAGAACCTGTAATCCATAGACTATTGTGTCTCCTTGCCTATTGACTGATTTTGGTAGACCAATCATGAACCCCTGCAGTGGTTTGTGGGTCGTGGGATTTGTTGGGTCAGTTTAAGAAAGTAAGTGCGGATTATTGTCCACAGTAGAAGATGGAATGCTTCAACGATATTATAATTCCTAGAGCTAGTTGGATTTGATTCCCATCAAAATTATTCGGAATTAATTATTTTGATGTTAAATGATTTTAAAATTAATTATTTGAATTTTTATGAGTCTCTGTATATTTTATCTTAGCAAAATGGATTTTAAAAGTAAGGGATATTCATTTTTCAGTATTTTAATATTCTAAGACAAATAAAGTTTATTTTCTATATTCCAAAAATCATTTAATCAATTTTAATTATTCACTAATTATATGGGGCCCCACCATGAGCTATAGGCTCACCATAAAATATATCACATAGGGAAATTGTGTGCGGCCCACATGAGGCCACTTAGGGTGGCACACCCCACCCAAATTGAACCACACTTAATAAATATTTAATGAAGCCAATATATTATGTGTAAGAAGATTATGGAAAATTATGGTGTGATTGATAATATTTTTCATATTTTATTATTTGATGGGATTAGATTTAGGAAGCTGAAGGATAAGATTCTAGCACATTCCTTTGTATCATGATGGCTGATTTAAGGATTAGATGATTCAAATCTCTCACCCCACAGGTCTCTTATGATCAATGGTCCGGATTTATTTTCACTAAAGATGGCTAACCCTAAGGAAACCATAATCCCTAGAAACTCTATAAATAAGGGCCCTCCCCCCCATAAATATCTACACCTCTTATCTCTCTCATCTAAAATCTTCTCTCTCATCTCTCTTAATTTAGAAAGAGAACAGGGCACGCCCCACCTAGGTAAAAAAAGAGGGGGGGGGATGCCCCCTCAGGTCAATAGAAGGGGGGCGCTCCTCATGCACTATACATTGAGGTCCGGGCCTTACTCCATAGTTGTTCCTTGCTGTTATATTGTGAAGGGTTGAAGCTTTAGCTTTTCCATACTTTGTAGATCTGAGATAGATCATTGATCCCGTGCACCATTGGAGGAGGAGACCTGGTGTGGGGTGTTCTAAACTTTGGTTGAGGTAATCTTTCGGCATCTTGTTTCGTAGTCTGCAGTTTTTTATTTCTTATGCTTTCTTATTTCCAAAAGCATTGTGTTGGTATTATTCATTGAATAAAAGTTGTAATTAATGGCAGAAAGTGAGAACCACTTTTGGTTATTTATTTGTTTATTTCGAGTGAGGTTTATTGTACATGGACCTTTGTAAGTGTTCTAGAAGGTGAGAAAAAGAAAAAAAATAAAAACTATATACACCGTGCTAGATCACCTTGTCCAACTTTCAGTATAAGGTTAGGAATTGCTTGAATAACCAAGGGATCATTACTTTTGGAGCATGAACAGTTGCAGAACAAGGTTCCTACAACTAAGGCGAGACCGCTTCTAGTAGTACCCTTCAGTTTTGCACTTGAGATAACATTTTCAAGAAAGAATTATGAATCAAAATTAATAACTGGTCGGTTGCTTTGTGATTTAATCTGATGCAATGCTGGTAACATGTCATCTGTAACTTTGAGCAACATGCTCTGGATCTTCCCTTTTGCAGGCGTTACATGGTGAGGATCGTGTATTATATCTCTCATCCACTTTACAAAAGTGACATACTTTATTTCTTGGGGAAGGGTATATGGGGGGGGAAGTAGCAGACGTGTTTTTTATTTTTATGGATGTACAAATGTAAATGGCAAGATATTGAAGAAATGATTCTTATGGACAATGACGAAGCATGTTTCAGGGTTTGAGTGTGTAACTTGACTGACATTAGACCATTTAGTTAAATTTGGTAACAATTCGACTTGTTGATTGCTGGGAGTTGATTTCTCATTGTTGGCAAAGGTTGGGTCATTGTCTCCTGTTGACATCTTTATCTCTTGAGAAATCATTTTCATTTTCTAATATTTTATTATTGAAAGTGTTGATATTTCATTTGGTCTTATAAGATACATTCGTGGATTCTGGACCCAATCATTAATAGAGCGGAAGATACTTGAACCTAGCTATGATAAAAATAGTGGAAGGGCTCCAAAGAGTTTATTCTCTTTGATGAATGATTGTATAGTACTGCCCGTGCTGGAACAATTATCCTGACTACAAAGTATTTTTTTTGATGAATGATTGTATGAGTGATGAATTTTTTTTGAATAACCTTTTACCTTTACCAGCAACTTTTGATAACTAATACATTGCTCATGCAGATTGAATTCCGCAACGGTGCTGTATATGCTTGTTTCAGGAAAAAGTTTTCTTCTTTTTCTTTATTTGAAGGGAGGTCTCATAATTTTACCCCATATCAGTCATATTCAGGATCTGATGCTGCTGTTAGTGAGATAGAACTTACAAATAAAGAGGAGGATTTGATAACCAATCTGAGAAATTGGTTTGGTGATTTTGAGTTTGAGATAGGTATTTCTTTCCTGTAAATTATATTAATGCTGTAGTTGGTAAATATTTCAAACTGTGAATTTTTATTGGTTTGATGAAATACTTCTCTTTTGAGTGTATATAGATAAATACCCCATGAAGAAGGTTTTGACTTGAGTGATGGCTTTTTGAATCATTCGGCTTTTATGTTATCGATGTAAGTGAATATCTAATTAGCTTGTTGTACTTGGAATTATTGACTGTTTGCATGGGTACATGTCAGTTTCGCAGCCATGATGGTATCATTTTTCATGAAATTAAGGATTTTACATCATAGGCACTTTTTATACCTAGCAATGGAAAAAGATTAGGTAGAATCACAAGTAGTGCTATTATGTCACCCCCAATTTGCCTTAATATTCATTACATGTCAACTCATGTCAACACTTTCCAACAGTCCTTTGACACTTTATCTATGTGTAATGTCTCCCATTTATTTTTGAGTACGTGGACATTCCTGAATTTTTTTTTCTTTGTTTTTTTTAATTAGTCATTTCTCAGGATTTATGATCCTATCAACATGGGTTGTTTGCTGCATAGTTCTCGGGACAGGGACCGCAGTTGGGGGCAATTTGTGTATCAAGAGCAGGGCATTGTTAAAGACTAGAAGATCCCTATGGTAGGGAGCGCCGTCGGTACAATGCACTTGTTTGGGATCTTAATCCCAACATTGTGGTATCTTGATCGCAACCTCTTGGGACTATATCGCAACCTTTTGCGATTCTTGTTCGTAACCTTTAAAGGTATATATAATTTGAGACTATATGTACTCTTTAAAGTATAAATCTCTTTCTTTTATATCTAGCTTGTAATGCTACTATATTAAAAACAAGTTGCATTACTAGATGACTATAAATTAAAAGAATCATCAGTTTGGTCGTTATCTTGGTCTTTTTGTCCAAGGAGTGACGATAGTAAATGGTCTGTTGCAAAAACTGATGAGGTGTGGGTGACAGCATCCCACATGTTGGGGAGGTACTAAGCGTACAATAGGAACAAAATCCCTTGTTTACAAGATGAATTGTAAGCAGTAAGAAAGAGAGAGAAATGGATAAGAGAAAGGATGAGGGGATAGATGAGTGAGAAAAGAGAGATGAGAAGGTAGAGAAGAGAGAAGTAAGAGCTGGGAGGGAAGATAGATAGTAAGGGGAGAGAGATAGTAAAGAGAAAGTAGACAGCGAGAGAAATCAAACAGTAAGGGGTGAGAAAAGGAGAAAAGTGTGTGCAAAGAGAGTGTAGATAGAGAAGTGAGAATACCATTGACCACTTCTCGATGAGCTATCCTAAAAGCATAAAAAAATATAAGTAAAGAAAGATAACGAGATGTAGAAATGGGTAGAGTGGAGGGAGAGAAAGAGAGTTTAGAGATGGTGAGGGGAGAAAGAGGAGAGTTCGGTAGGCATCCCACATGCCAGTGCTCTACCGCCAAAAAAAAATAAAACCAAAAAGAAATTACACAGCCCAAAATTACACATGGATAGATGTGGATGGTATAAAGACCCCCTGTTTTGCTAAGGAATCAACTGTTGAGTTTCTCTTCCACAAGGTATGATAGAAGTTGACTCGAAGTGGCCTGCATAAATGAGCAATATGTTCGAAAATATGGGTTAGTCCCCAAGGAGGCTGTGATATGTCCGTTGCCCATGATATAACATTTTGGGGTCTGTCTTTACGAGCAAATGATTCCCCCAACTTAGAAAAAATCTCTTGAGAGCTTTGAGTAAAGCGATTGCTTAAGATGTTGCCATTCAAATTTGAATATCTGAAAATTCCCCCCACTCTGCATGGGCTTGAGTTCCCCAAGGAGCATCAAATTTGTAATGCCACTCTTAGCATTGTGTATACCTCTCATGATTTAGCAATATTTGGCCTTCTAACTACAAACCGCTTAAATCTTTCCACAAGTCGGATTTCATTCTGCCCTTCCGCTCCTTGGTTTGCGTCGTCCTGACCAGGAGGTCATCAAACTTAACTTTGATAGGTACTCTTTGGGAAAACCCGCACTTTGTGGCTTCAATGGCATCTTCTGTGATTGTGTGGGCAATACCGTTTCTTCCTTCTACAACTACCTTGGCATAGGTGACTCGGGTTGAGGCCAGTGCCCTTCTTGAAGGTGTCTTCAGATTCGACTCCACCTGCGGGAATGAGCTCATTGTGAAAGGGGACAATGCCAATATTATTCTTAGGGCCATCAAGAGAACCCAATATCCTCCACGCCTAGCTGCCATTTTTTATCATGCTTTTCATTTGTTTGGGCCAGTTTAAGTTGGCTTCCATCATATTTGGCAGGAGGGTAATTCCGAGGTGGACTCTTTAGCTAAGTAGGGTGCCTTCTCTTTAGGGTCCCCAACTTTATCTTGAGTTTTCTAAGGCCCTTTTGGATTGATGTGGACTGTCTCTTTGCTGTCCTTTTTCTTTTCCTTCCTCTTTTTCTCCTTTTCTCAGCTGTCTTTCTTTCTGCTGTTATCTTTTTGTAGGTACACATGAACTACTCCACTTCTGAGCAATTGATAGACTTGGACTACTCCACTTCTAAGCACCTGGTCTGTTCTGTGGGTTGCCTCTCTATTCTATCTCACTTATTGTTACTGCCAAGCACGTGGTTTTGGAGGCGCCCCTCCTCCCCCCTCTGTCATTTTTTGGTGCAGTCGCACCCTATTCACTGGTTCCTCCCCGCCCCATTCTTTCTTTCTCTTATGTTGCCATCGTACATTTTTTTTACAATGCACATGTTTTGGTGTTCTGCCCTTATAAGGGAGTATACTCTCTCCCCTCTTCTTTCCTCTAGCTACTCTTACTCTTTCCTCTCTCTGCTTTTCTTTATTCTCCTCTTCTCCCATCTATCTATCTCTTTCCCCTTCTTCTATTTCTCTCTCTTTTCTTTGGTTTATTTTCTTGTCTTTTTTGTTTCATTTGCAACTGAGCACCCTGTTGTGGGCTGCCATCTCACTTTTTGAGTGCATTTTTTATACCTAATATTTTTAGTAATATATTGTCACATTTGTAAAAAAATAAGAAAAAGAAAAAAGATTTCCCAGACCATGGTTTGTTTGGTGGAACTTCCAATGGATTGGACTTAATTTAGTTGGACCCCTAGTCGGTATCCAAATTACATGAAATTTTAATTGTTGGTTCTTGAGACATTTTAACTGTAGGTACATATGAACTACTCCACTTCTGAGCACCTGGTAGACTTGGACTACTCCACATCTAAGCACCTGGTCTGTTCTGTGGGTTGCCTCTCTATTCTATCTCAATTATTGTTACTGCCAACCACCTGGTTTTGGGGGCGCCCCTCCTCCACCCTCTGTAATTTTTTGGTACAGTCGCACCCTCTTTAGTGTTTCCTTCCCGCCCCATTCTTTCTTTCTCTTGTGTTGCCATCATACATTTTTTTTACAATGCACCTGTTTCGGTGTTCTGCCCTTATAAGGGAGTATACTCTCTCCCCTCTTCTTTCCTCTAGCCACTCTTACTCTTTCCTCTCTATGATTTTCTTTATCCTCCTCTTCTCCTGTCTATCTATCTCTGACTCCTTCTATTTCTCTCTCTTTTCTTTGGTTTATTTTCTTGTCTTTTTTGTTTCATTTGTAACTGAGCACCCGGTTGTGGGCTGCCATCTCACTTTTTGAGTGCATTTTTTATACCTAATATTTCTAGTAATATATTGTCACGTTTGTAAAAAAAAAGAAAGAAAAAAGATTTCCCAGACCATGGTTTGTTTGGTAGAACTTCCAATGGATTGGACTTAATTTAGTTGGACCCCTAGTTGGTTTAGTTGGACCCCTAGTCGGTGTCCAAATTACATGAAATTTTAACTGCAGGTTCTTGAGACATATTTCTTATTACTCACAAAATTTTAGCTTGATTCAAGACCATTGGATTGGTGTTTTGTGTTCGTTGTGGTCAATCATTCGGCAAAGTGTCGTTTGATGCATGAATTGTGGTTGAGGTTTGAGGTTGATTTACTTGACCTACTTAATTGCACCATATTCTATGAAATTTAACCGTAGGTTTTGGAAACATTGCTCCACTAACCGTAAGAGTTTGAGATCAAACTAAGATCAATTGAGTCTCCATTGGAGTTTGCTGCAGTTAGCCTGTTGAAGAGCCAGATGCAGGCTTTTGCAGATTGGCATCACTTTGTGCTGAATTAACTTGACCCCCTTATCAGCCACCAAATTTAGTGAAGTTTAAACCACATTTCCAAGACGTTTTTATGTAAACTCACAGAATTTGAGCTTTAAATGACGTGATTAAGGTGGGTTTTAGTGGTAATGGTTGCACTTAGATGTCAGCTGGGCTCATGAAACTGGTAGAAGTATAAGTTTGATTCAATTGAACCCTTATCAATATCGAAATTGAATAAAAATTTAACTGAAGATTTTTAAGACCTTTTTATCCCAACCTACGAAATTTTAGCTTAATATGAGATCATTAGGCTGATCATTCATTCAAACCTTGCTGTGTTCAATTGGCTTACTCAAACAGCCAACCATTTCGTATTTCATAAAATCCTCAATCAGTGTTCAAATCAGATGAAATTTGGACAACAGCTTCCAGAGACATTCCTCCACTTGCCCACCAAATTTCACTTGGAATGGATGTCATTTTGGCCTCCTTATTGTCTTTCTTTGCCGGAGTCAAGCTTCTCAACCAAAATATTTACCGTCAATAACTTTGGTAGATATCCTTAATGGTGTTCAAATGACATGAAATTTGGACTGTGAGTTTCTGAGTTACTCTCAAGCTGCTCACAAAATTTCAGTTGAAACAAATAGAAAATGGCAGTTTCGATTCTTCAACTGTGGTTAGGTGGCCAGCCAGATAATTGTCCTGGCGAACTTTTGAAAGGGTGCCAAAGATTAAAATAATATGAAATTTGGAACATAGGCTTATTGTCCTCCCTTGATCATTCCTCCAAGTTATTTCACTCGAAGGTTGATAGGTTCATTTTCTGAGCGGACCTCAGGTCAGGCATATGTAAGGCTAATTTGACTTCATGAAGCCATTTTGGTGCTTCATGGGGTGCTTTTGGGAGTCAAATTCATACGTTAGACTGAAGAATCATTTGTTATACTAATCTCTAGGCTCTGCTCTAGCATTCTCCCTCTCTGATTGCTGGCTGTTTTTTGGAGCACTCGTCTTGGGGGTGGTTCCTTGCCCCCTTCTATCTCTCTTAGCACCCATCATGTGGGTTGCCTGTCTCCTCTGTCTTCTTCTTTGAACATCTGAACTGTGGACTGTCACATTTTGGTCGAGTATATTTTCTGATCACCTTACTTGTATTGCTTCTCTCCCCCCTCTTCCTCTTTGAGCACCCGGTAGCCCTCCATCTCTCTCTCCCCCTTTCCCACCTTTTTTTCTTCTCTTTCCCCCTGTCTCCATTCTTTTTAGGGTCCTTGTTAATATTCTTCTTTGTCTTAATTGTTTGGTTTTGTTTTAATATCATTCCTTTTGTAGTTGGAGCACCCGGCCTGTGGGTTGCCTTCTCACTGCTCGTCAGAATTTTGAAAGTACCTACACATTATAAAAGTTACCATTTTAAAAAAAAATAAAAACTCAAGTGAGAAGTATGACTTTTCAAAAAGTCTGTAGTCTGTAATTAAAACTCTAACCCATTAGAACCCATAAGCAAGATTTCCTCCATGCAACTTTCTTCTGTGTTCTTCTATGTTTTGGTAATTTTAAAGCCCAAACTTATCAAAATGGTAGTGACTATCTGCCTGCATCTCTCTCTCTATCTATCTATCTATCTGTTGATCTAGAAAATTCCTAGATCTTTTCCAATTTTCCTCCTTTTAAGCTCTCCAAATTTTAGATTCTCCAATGAAACAACGGAAATTATTTTAAGGTCTTATGAAGAAAAACTTTATTAGGGTCATCTTCCTAATTTGTAAAAGTTGGAGACCATGCTGAAACAGGTAAGAGAAATTGAAAAGACTGGGAATGACCTTTTATTTCAAATTGCCCATTGCACACAGTTTTGATTTATTTTTATTTGGAGTATCCATATCTTCTATCATGGTTAATCCTCAGCTAAGGTGCTATTTTAATTTCCGCCGTGACCTTACCACTGTGTGTTTCCTCTGCCTCTTTTGAGGTTCCCGACCTGTGGAAACAGTGTCAATTCGGAAGATCATGTAATAAGGATAATATGTCAACATTGGATCACTTAGACCATTTCCATCCATTTCAAAACTGTTTTTGGGTTCCTAGGCAGTTATTTGTGGGCGAGTTTGGATAGACCAAGTAATGATGAACCAAGGCAAACATGTTTTTGTTTTTACCTTAGTCACATTTTGTTGACTTATGCAGCCTTTTCCAAATAAACTTGGTTAGAAAACGGTCTCACACAAATGTGTTGCGAAAGTGTTTCATACTAGTATCATCATCATCATCATCATCATCATAGCCTTTTACCAATTAATTGGGGTCGGCTACACGAATCCTGGTTCACCATTCTGCTCTGTTAAAGTGTTTCGTACTAGTATATTAAAATAATACTTTTAATCATGTTTAGTAGCCCTCTAAAGTATTCCTTAAATATAGATCACCATGCAATTTGTTCCTAAATCTTAATGCATTATAGAATAGCCTGGTGACAGAAATAACTTGATGCTGTTCCTCGCATTTAGTAGTTTAGTGTACATTTGCATGGAAATCTGCAGTGTTTATTGTTCAAATAAAATCTGGTTTTGATTATGATCCAAAAAATTATGACTCTTATTGTTTAGGTAATGATAAATATGTGCTTCCTTTAAAAAAGATTGGGGATGTGAAAAAGAATGAGGATGTCGATTTGGTATGCAAGGTAACTTTTGCATACACTACTTTCATTTGCTCCTGTAAATCACAATCCCTGCTAAGTTGATTTTATATGCTTTCTTTCCCTGGAAAAGATTCTTCATTCACATCGAGTCTCTGAAGAAAGTACCGATGTTTTTGTGTGGGATGGAACTGATGCTCCCCCAATTTCGGAGTTAATGTAAGCATTCTACTTATATTTTAAGTTGCGCCAGTGTGTAATACAACAACATACTTGATTTTTTAATTTAGTTGGTTTGCATGGAAAATGTTTACACAGTGACTCTGCTTTGTTGGATGTTATGTCGGCATTGAGAATTGTGAAACTATTCAACCTTCTATATACTCTCCGTCGAGCAAATCGCTCTTATGAAATGGACAGTGATGTAGAGACAGTGGGACCACCGGAACAGGACATGCCCCTAATGGTTGGGCCAACTCTCTCTTCATCATTGTCCATCATTCGACCTTATGGGCTTGACCCAATGGACTATGGTTTCTGTGATCTATCGGAAAGTTATATTCTTTCTTCGTAGATCTTAATCAATTCAGGCGTTTTTGGAGAAGAGAGATATTTGATACCGTTGTAGAGCTAACACAATTTGTTTAAGTGGCTCATGTTATTGTTCATGGGATGTCTTAATAACAATATTTGTTTTTCCTATTCATGTTATTTTCCTATATTTATTGGAAGTTCATATTTTTTTATAAAAGCAAATTCATGACAACAATGAAGGCCTTATACCTAACATTGCACATTTTTCTCAACTTTGTCCTGTATCCCTTTTTATAGCAATATTGTTGTTTGAAAGGGTGACAATATATTCATTCTCAAAAAAAGAAAAGAAAGGGTGACAATATATTACTTACTAAGATAGTTACAAAGGGTGCTCACATGAAGTGAGGTGTTATTTTTCATTATAGACTAGGTGTTATGGCTGCCCACAGACTGGGTGCTCATTGAATTTAGTTTGTATGCATGGAAAATGTTTACAAAGTGAGGCTTTGTTGGACATTATGTCAGCATTGATAGTTGCGTAAGTATTTAACCTTCTGTGCACTTTCCATGGAGCAATCGCTCTTATGAAATGGACACCACCAGAACAAGACATGCCCCTAATGGCAGGGCCAACTCTCTCTCCATCACTTTCTGTCGTTTGACCTTATGGTGTTGATGCAATGGACAATAGTTTCTGTAATCTATTGGAAAGATATATGCTTCCCATAGTCAACATTTCTCAAAAAGATATATGCTTCCTCCATAGATCTCCATCCATCCAGACATTTTTGGAGAAGGGAGATGTTTGATACAGTGTTGGAGCTAACACAATGTGCCTAAGAGGCTCATGTTATTGCTCATGGGATGGCTTTATAACAATATTTGTTTTCTATCCTCAAATTGTCAAGGATGCCTGTTTCATGTTACCAGTACTACTTGTCCCTAGATAATTTCATATTCATAGAGTTTAGGTAATGAACTCAACCTTTTAAAGTAAGCACTCATGAAGTAGAAAATGTCCCATGTAAGTCTGATGGGTATTTTGTATCTGAGCCTTGAGCTTAAAAAATGTTACAGAAATCCCCTAAATATTGTTCTGCAGAATATTTGCTATCATCCAAATGATGCTTATCTGTTGTAAATTGTGTTTTCTGATGTGAGCCTGTGAATGATTTTCATTCGACTCAATTCATAAATCTGTGGTTCTGTCTTTTACATGATTGATTCAGTTTTTGTTCAAAGCACTACTTACTTTCACACTTGTGTATTAGTAGACTCATATATATTTGGCCTGGTAATGTTTCCGGTTCCAAATCTAAAGCTGTTTCTATTAGTATTTGTCTTTATCAATCCATGGATCCTAATACTATCTCATCATCAGTCAAGATGGTGAAGCACTTCAGGAAACCTGTTTGGAACGCTGGCCTTTCTTGCCAAGGGATGTAATACGAGAGTTTCCTTCTATAGGGTCGGTAATCAAATTAAATATTGGCAAGTGGTTTGCGGAGTTTGAATCACGATTACAGCGATGGAATTGGGGTCCATGGTTTAAGTTCCGTGGTGTTAAACTCTATCCAAGATCGGGATTCTGGGAAGGTTTTGTGGTGGATAAGAGTAAAATCTGTCCTTTATCAGTGGATGATTATCGTGTGGTTTTTTGTCAAATGTAATTCTCTATTTTCCGATCAGCAATTTTTTGGCTCCTATTTGGTGTTTGATGTATTCTTCTAATGTAAAATGCTTTTGAAAAGCTAGTATAAGAGTTGTTTGTATAAGAGTTGTGTATTTTGAATGTATCAGTTCTTATGAACAACGGACTTCCTCAACTTTCGGGCGGATGCCATCTTTTTGTTTCGCTCGACAATCTTATGTTGCAAGTAAGTTTTTCACATACGAAATTCTGGTATTTTTGTCTTTGTGAACTTGCAATTTGACTTTCTTCAGTAAAAACCATGTCATGATATTTGTGGTTCTATGTCCAAGAAGCTGAAGTTTTCAGATTTGGCCTTCAAATGGAGACAAAAGAGGGGCGTACTTGAGCACTCTTCGGGCTTCTCTTGCCAAATCTCTATTTTGTTTATTTTTCAAGATTTTAAAATACCCAAAGTCTTTTGTGCAAACATCTGAAACACTGTAAGTGGTTCTCTTCCCCAGCCCTCAAAAAGCAACCTCAAGAGCAGATCTGGCAATAAAGGGCTATTCCCTTTGAAGAATTTTATCTTTACTTATGCTCTATTGAAATCCATCAAACCTATCATGTGGAGCTTGTTTGAGACTCAAAAGATCATGTGTAGCAAGCACTCGTCTTTTGGACTTTAAAGCCACTAAAGCATAAGAGGAATATTATGAGAATTCTTCTCATAATTTAATGTGGAGAAAGGCATTGTAGAGATAAGTCTAGTAGAAGGGCTAGTTACATGTTGAGACAATATCACGAGAGACCATACTATCATTATCTTAGCTATAATTCCCATCAATGTCTGTTACTTATGGTACAATTTAGAGTTTAATAATCATGTTTGTTTTATAGTGCTCCGCTGGACCTTGGTTTGACAGTGCATTATCATTTGAAACCAAATATTTATTCTTATTGTCAAGGTAATTAAATCATGTCTTATTCTATTAAGGATTATTAGGCTTGCTTGCTTTCAAAAAGAAAGACTGGGATGGAGCTTAATGTGAATTTTGGTTGTTGGATTTGGTCAAGAATAGAAAAAGGTGAGGTACAAACATGTGGAGAGTATATATATATAGGGAAAAGATCCTGTCAGGCCACTAGTTAACAACTACAGTGTTAGCCCAATGGTTCAGATTGAATTTATGTTGATCCAATGGTCATAATTGCATCTCATATTTGAATTTTAATTTTTTCTACAGATCTAAATCATTTGAAAATTTGAGCATTTGTTCTTTAAAAATAGGAGTATCTAATAAAAATATCAAAAAAATGATTCACAAAAAATAAATTGACCATCGAATCTAGGCTGATTCAATGGTCATAATTACATTTCATATTTGAATTTTAATTTTTTCTATAGATCCAAATCATATGAAAATTTGAGCATTTGTTCTTTAAAAATAGGAGTATCTAATAAAAATATCAAAAAAATGATTCATAAAAAATAAATTGACCAAAATACCCCTCAATTTTGCAGGGGTATTTCGATCAATTTAGTATTTGTGAATTATTTTTTAAATATTTTTATTAGGTGGGCCTTGATGAGAAGAATGGACGTCTCAAATTTCATGTGATTTGGATTGTAGAATAATATTAAAATTATATTACCAAATGTTGTCGTGACCGTCAGATTGACCCAGATTGATACACTGTAGGTATCAGCTGGTGGGCTAACCTCAAATTCTCCATATATATATATATATATATATATATATATATAGGAAAAGTCTTTCCAACGGCTATTGGTGAAAATGAATAGTGATTTTGTTTACCCTCATCACCGTCCAAAGTTCATTACACGGTCACGATTGTCTAAAATTTGGAGCGTGTGTACATCTTAGTGAGACGAACCCAATAAAAATTTTAAAAAAATAATAAATGAAAAAACATTTGACCAAAATACCCTTGAAACTTTTTGGGGGTATTTTGGTCAATTTATTTCATGTAAAATATGTTTTTGATATTTTTCGTAGATTTGCCTATTTTTGATGAACACATGCTCAAATTTCAAATCATTTTGATTTTGTAAAAAAAAAAAAGAAAACTCTACCGATCCATCATGACCTTGCGATGAACTTTGGACGGTGTTGAGAGTAGGCGAAATCACTGTTCATTTTCACCTATAGGTGTTTTGTAGTATCTTCCATATATATATATATATATAGGGCAATGATTTCATGCAACCGTTGTATATTAATATGATGCAACAACCTTAAAAAACCATCTTATAGACATTTATTTGATCCAAAATTTGAAATATACACTCTTTTCATTCTAATGAACAATCACAACAAAAGTAAAGGGTAATGACCTAATGCAACGGTTGTAAAGTAGTATAATGCAACCACACCTCTAGAAAACCATATTCTTGGCATTTGTATGACTCCAAATTTTGCACACACATTCTTTTCATCCTCATAATCAATCTTATGAAAATAAATAAATTCAATTGCACCCTAAATATGGTCAAAATTAGTACCCATCAAAAAATGAATCTCGACCATCCATTTGGTGAATTTCAAGATCTAGGCCTTAAAAAATTCAAAATCACTTTTTTCTTTTTTAACATTATTAATCTAATGATGCTAACACTATATAAAATTTTTGGGAATAAATGAAATTCTTCTAAAGCCCTTATCTAACCATCTCAATAAAATGAACGGCTTATACTAATTGGGCTAGAATGAAAACGTTTTATAGAATTTTTTCAAAATTTTCTTTTTTGTGATTGTTCTTCAGAATGAAAAGAGTGTAAATTTAAAAATTTGTGTCAAACAAATGTCTCTAATGTGGTTTTTGAAGATGGTTGCATTATATTACTATACAACGGTTGCATGAAATCATTCCCCAAAGAAAAAATTGAAAACACAACCTAGAAAGTATTTTTTTAGCCCAATTAACATAGGCCGTTCATTTTGGTGAGATGCTTAGATCTAGGCCTTAGAAGGATTTTTTCATTTCCAATTTTTTTGGATGGCTTTATTATCATTAGATGAACAATGTTAATTAAGAAAAAATGATTTTGAGTTTATAAAGTATAAGATCTTGAAATTCACAAAATGAGTGGTCTAGATTCGTTTTTGGAGGGGACTCATTTTGACCATATATACGGTCCAATTTGAACTTTTTTTTTTTTGGGGATTGATTATTGAGATGAAGAGAGTGTGTGTACAAAATTTGGGGTCATACAAATACTACAAACATGATTTTCTAGAAGTGCCATTGCATTATACTATGTTACAACCGTTGGTTTTCTTTTGACATGTTAACAGGATAGGAATAGATTTTACATCTTTCTACAATGCTCCTCAAATTTTGCTTCTTCAAGAACAGATACAAAGATATTGCAGGTGGAATTAGCCACCGACACTTTCAGGTCTGGAGATCTAGTTGTTACATATCTGATGTGTAGGGACATATCATCCTTAATAAGTATTATAATATTGCACATAATCCTCATTTTTATACATAACTATGGAAAATGGGGACTTAAAATCTTGACGTACTTTATAGTAACAAGCAGGATATAGCTGAACTGTGTCTCCTTGGATCCCTACTGTATTGTGTAATAGTATTGACACTGATGTGTCGGGCACATACATGTAACCGTACAATAGGTAAGTATGAAATTGCGGTTACAAAGTGTAACATATATCATGTGGGAATAATTCTACCTAATAATGTAAGCTAACTAACAAACCGGAAGCTTAAAAATTAGGCACTACTCATCCTTAATGAGTGTTATAATATCACACACAATCCTTATTATTATACATAACTATGTAAAATAGGGGCTCAAAATCTTGATGTACTTTATATTAACAAGCAGGATATAGCTGAACTTTGTCTCCTCGGGGCCCAACTGTACTGTGTACTACCACTGACACTGATATGTCGGGCACGTACAGGTAACCATTCAATAGGTAGGTATGAAACTGCTGTTACTAGTGTAATAGCCATTGATGTTGTGGGTATGGATCGTAACAACTAGGCATTCATTGTGTACCAATCCTAAATGAATACATATCGTTAATTTGTTAACAAGCGAATAGATGGTGTATTTTTTATTTTTGATGTCCTAAGTTCTGACAAATTGTTATTTCTATGATGTGCAACACGATAAACAAATTCTCATGCCATCCCTAGCACAACTGATAAAACCAAGCTTATGAACTGGCAAAGATGGATTTGTGATTCTGTTTGGTCAATATGTGATGAATAGTAAGGCATGTCATCATCATCAGAACCTTTTCCCAACTATTTAGGGTCGGCTACACAAATCTTGGTCCGCCATTCTGCTCCATCAAGGGCCAGACACTTGGTGATGAATAGTAAGGCATGTAGTATACAATAAACAAAACCTCACACCATCTCTCGTAAATAAAACCGTGCTTATGAATTGTCAAAGATGAATATCTGACTATGTTTTATCAAGATCTGGTGAATTATTAGGCATTTTTACGTGAGACGGAACCTTCCAGCTCTCACATAATGTAAATCTTAACAAAGAGAGGCACCATACATGCAGAAGCATGCAAGTGAACTTATGGAGGATTTGTTTACTTTGTACAAATGATGATTGTACTTTATGAATGAAGAACTCCCAGGTGCTACAGATGTTGGATATTGAATCCGTGATAGTTGTAATTGTTAAAATTCATCCTCTTTTGTATAGAGAGCATAGTTTTAAAAAGCGGACCGCCCAGTGCCTAGGTGGTCCAGAAGGCTTGGGTGCATTGCTCAGGCCTAAGCAGCCAAACTAGGCTGATATCTCTGGGCGCCCGCCTGAACCCGCTTTGGCGGCCGCCCAGGGCCTACGCCGCTCCCAGGGGTAGAAATGCGGCTCCTTGAGGCTATTTTTGGGTTATTTTTTTAGTATTAAAGGGGCAATATTGTGGGTTTTAGGTTCATTTGAAACCTAAAACCCATTAGAGGCTATATTAGAGAGAGAAAATTTTAAAAAATAAATAAATGATACTAGGCCTCCTAGGTTCTAGGCACTCGCCTGGGCGCTGGGTGGCTTGGACCCCCCCGACTGCCTAGGTGCCGCCTAACGCTTTTTGAAACACTGATAGAGAGGACGATCGACATATGAGACATTGATATATGTTACCAATCCTAAGTCACCCAACTATGGTAGATAACAATAATGACGAGCAGCTAGTGCACATAGGAATAGCCTATGCCTATTCTTAAGGCGTTTTGAAGTGGCCTCAGGTATTATAGTTAATATGGGGAAAACCATTTTATTGGGGGTCTCTGTTCCATTTGATTAACTAGATGTACTGGCTGAATGTGCTGTATGTGGGACTGATCCGGGGGAGGCTATTAAATTTGCTTTGCTTTGGGCAAACCTCTTGAAGTCTTCAAGTTGAGGGACTCAACCAAAGTGAAGCTAAAGAACAATTGAAAATTTGAAATTTTATGTTTCAGTTAAGTTCTTTATTAAAAGATAGCTTGTTCTAAAGTTTGTATATTTTTTTCAAAATGCACTTCAAAACATGGTTTTTATTTATTTTGACTTGCCATGTTAGTTGGCTTTTTTAAAGCTACAACTTTTTTAAGGCATAGCTTGTGCGGTATATGTTTTCTTAAAAATGTTCTTTAAATTGTAGCTTGTACTAATTGCATCACATGCTATAATTATTCAAGAGTACCTTCAGATTATACCTCCTTTCACAGAGGAGAATATTATTTTAGTGAGAGAACATAGCCACACGAGAAAAGCTATCTATTTCTCTCTAAATGAATAGAAGGATAAATGGATAATAATGGATCCACATTTTTAGACAGCTAAAAAGTGTGTGAATTTTTTCAATCAAATTCATAGAAATTGCTTTAAGTTCTATAATTTCTGGTATTGTCCTATATTATATTTTTATTCTAAATATACACTAAAGCTTCCCCCAAATTCATCGAAGTGCCAAACAGTTACCTTTTTGGGCCAAATGAAGATGCCTCTGAAGAGAATTTGATAAGTACCCTCATTAGATCCACCGTTTCAATCTTACCCATCTATGATGTGTCTATTATCAACCTGCATCATTTGCTCGAAAAAAAAAATGATTGATGAGAAACTTCATTTGGCAAGAATTGGTTGAGAAGCATGGATTCACTTGGTTGGGTAGTATAGAGAGTGGTCCAATGAGTAAAAGGGGCTTGAGTTTTAGGAAGATGAAAGAAGTGAACAAGACCTTCTTGCTAAGTGGTGGCAGAGATTTGGGACACCGACATGACACATTTGGAGGAAGGTTGTTGCAAACAAAAATGGGATAGCTAAAACAGGATGGTTGTTGACATTGTATGATTGCAAGGGTAGATTCTCAAAACTAATGAATGGCCCTGCATGTTTTGAATGGAATATTAGGGTGGGGGATAGAAGTTTTTGGCTTGATCTTTGGATGGGGAACTTCCCCATAGTGCTTGCATAGTAACTTATTTGCTTTGGCACTAAAACTGAAGACTACCGTGGCAGAAATAGTTGAAATTAGGGGGCACAATACCATTTGGTTCTTTGGTCTTGAAGTTAGGGGGTATGTGTTCACTTTGGTATTGCAGCCCATTCTTGGGGTATCGTTTTTCTTTGGATTCCACTGACAAGTACCATTTATACTTTATGTATATGGAAATTTATCAAAATACACCTAACGTTTCACTATTTAATATTGGGTTTTGTTAGGCTATGCCACTTGGTGGTGTATACCCTTAAAGTCCTCAACATTTTTGGACACTTAGATATCCTTATCTTATAGTTTAGTAACTTTTTTCTAGGGGTTTTACAAGTAATTAGTCAAAGGTAGAGTAGAAATTCCTAATAGAAATAAAATCATTTATTAACAATAGTGGACAATGACATTACCGACATGTGTGTGACATCAACCACAAGATGCATTAATTTTTTTTTTAACTACCAATAGAATGATACTATTTTTTTATAGAAATATCTATTCAACCCTTCTAAATGACCAAAAATGCCCCTACTTGAAAAATTTGTATTACAATTCAAGGGTATTTAAGTGTCAAAAAATGTTGAGGACTTTCAGGGTATAGACCACCAAGTGGTGTAGCCTAACAAAACCCTTTAATATTTTACCCTTTTACTACTATCATCATCATAGCCTTTTCCCAACTAGTTGGGGTCGGCTACAGGACTCTTGGTCCAACATTCTGCTGTATCACAGGCAATACCCTCAGTGAGGCAAAATTATGTGTATTTTGATGGGTACTTTGAAATTAATTCAAAACTTGTGGGTGAAATGGTAAATAGTTAATCTCTTGGGTGTATTTTGAAAGATTTCCCTTGTGTGTGTGTGTGTGTGTGTGTGCGTGTGCGTGTGCGTGTGCGTGTGCGTGTGCGTGTGCGTATGCGTGCGTGTGTGTGTGTGTGGCTGTCTCGTTTTCAGGTTGGCCAAATTATCTTTAGAGTACTTAAACTTCTCCTCGTTCATTCCAGGGATAGATGGAGAACGTAAGCAGCTCCCAACACTTAGGGAAATCCTTACGCATCTAGAGGTTTCTCTCTTCCTCTTGCCCCCTATATTTGTGTCTACACACACACGTGTATCTGTTTGTTTCTGTGCATGTGCATGCACATATATATATTGAATTTGATAAGGGATTGTATGCTATAAGACCACTTATTATTGGTACAAGTAGGTCACAATCATGTTTAGCCATTGGATGTGAAATCCGATAGATTGGAGTGTCACAACATTCAAGAAATTTTATTTTGGACTTGTGCTCAATCAGTAATACATCCTCAACCACCTGATTTCGCATCCAACAGTCATTAATGAATGTGAACTTCCTATATAAAAAATAAATGGTCTCATTGTATATATTTCCATTTGATAAAATATTGATAATGATTTTCTTTACTTGGGTTTCTTCATGCTTTTACATGATATGAATTTCAAGGATAGACCTTAGAGAATTTTCCAACAACTAGAACTATATTTAAATGTATTTTGAGCCTAGGACATAAATTTAGAAAAGGACACATTCATAGTCTTAATGCTTGATCTATAACTTTAAAGAACCTCTTGTTTGGATATGATACAGTATCATTATCAATAAAAAGAGAAGAAACTTTGGAATATCGTTAAATATGAGCTAGTGAAGCATTTATTAATATATGAATTATAGATGGGCCAATATTTTTTTGAGAATGGAATTGGACTTTTATTATCATAAACAGTGTGAATTAGTACAATTCCAGGCTAAGAAAAGGCCAAAATTTTGTGCTTTTTTTTGTATGTTCACTTTTGCAAATCATACAAACCCAATTGAAAAACCCAAGAAGAAAAATAGGAAGTTGAATACTTATTTGAAGAACTGTTAGTTGCTTGTATTGATGATGTACTGTGGTGTGAGCCATTTTCTGAAGTAGAGTTCATCTTGTTCTCTGCAGGACCCTGACACATTTACATGTATTGTTCGAGTAGTAGGCAGACACCCACTTCATGCTAAAGACATCCACGCTCTGTTACCTGGATTTTCCAAATATGCTTGGAAGATGACTCTGGAGGACCCAACTGCACGAATTGATGCATACTTTGATGCAGAGAAGGTGGGAGTTCTTATTTTATATTTACTCTTTTCTTACCTATAAAAGATACTGCAATCCAGTTTACTATGAAGCATAGTTCATTAGTTCGTCACTGTCCATTGAGATGATTTGATGGTATTGGATTGGACCTCACAGATTGGTCCAATGCACTCACCCATCCTCGCTGCCATCATTCATTATATGGTGAGGCCTCTGTGCACCATGATTTCTCATTGTATGATTGATATGTGGCATACTTGCCTTTTGTCACATGTTATATTCTCCTCCAGGTTAAAATAAAGTAATCTGTTTTTCTATGCTAATTGATTATCACTCTGTTTTTCTATGCTAATTGATAATATCTCTATTTTTTTATAACTGATAGATATGATGTTGGGGGAAGAAGGTTTAGTGTTCGTGCTCCTCTTTTTGACTGTTATTTAAACAAGGCCCTCATGGGTGTCTTGATATCTTTTTTACTCATAAACGATTGAAATGTACATTGTTTAAAAACTCCCCATTACACTCGTGACTCCCCCAAGTCCACCTGGTTGAAGCAGGTCCCAAAGTTTTTCCTTTGGGAAAATCAATTCTTAAAAGGCTGGGGCAAATCTTTTGAAGACTCACTGAGTCTTATATAGGACTTAACCAAGTCTCGATGAGTCTAGTATGCTGAGTCCTATGAAAAACAGGGTATTCCTAAGGACATCCAGGTTTTTTAAGTCTTGGCAAGTGGCTTTGGGACTAAGCGCGTCGACCTGACTCGTGACTCGGCTGAGTACCTAGTGGATTCTCTCTCTTTTTGGGCTTTGCGATAAACTTAATCTTCTTTTTATATTATCATCATAGTCCGACAACATTTAGATTCTTGTTCTATGCTATGTGAAGCATGGGTGTGCAAATAGTGCCTCGGGTAAGTTTTCCATCTCGTGTTTCTACCTTTCACTTCTCTCACTACCTAACCACCCAACCCTCTCCCCAACTTGTTAGAGCCTGGTTGAAAGGTGGACTATGTGACTGGGCAAGTGACTATCTTTTCTATCTTTTTTTTATTGTATTGCCACCTGAGTCACTTACAAAGTGTCCAAATACAATATAAATCAAATAAGATTGTCAAGAACTCTCACTTGCTTGCCATAAAACAAAAATACAGATCTGAAAATGAAAGATTCAATGGAAAGTAATAAATGAATTCTATTTATTTCCTTTCATTTTCCCTTTTGAAAGCAATCAAAATCTCTACACAAAATACTTTCCTAAAAACTCAAAACTACCCATGGCTTAATTGCCATAATACAAAATAGGAATGTTTGGAGGAGGTGGGGTGCACCTCCCATGGGTGGGCCATGTGGGCCCCATGCACTAAATATTGGTGGGCCCAATGAGCCCCAATGGGTCCCCCAATAGGCCCCCAATAATTAAAATAATATTTTCAGATAATAAAATAAAGTCTTTAAATAATTGATTTTACTCTCTGATTAAAATAAGTTTAGAAAATTGATTTTTCTTTATTTAAATCATTTTTTAATAAAAAATACCTAGAGAGGTCTAAAAATTTATGTTAATTATCTGAAAATTAATTAATATTCATTTTAATTATCTGAAAATTAATTAATCTTCATTTTAATTATCTATAGAGTTAGGATTACGACAAAAATACTGAGGACTCTACTGCACCTTCTCAAACTAACCCAATAGATCCCACGACCCACAACCTCTCGCAGGGGTTCATGATTTGACTATCAAAGTTAGCCAATAAAGTGCAGGAGATACGATTCTAGACCATGGATTACAGGTCTCTCTCTGAGGACAAGTCCAGGTTATATTTCAGTAGTATGCTTCATGGGTTCTTGCAACACAGTCCAATGTTGTAAGGAGCCGTTTTTTCTGTGCATGTACACGTCGCACATTCTTATCCATAAATGAACGCTTCACGGACGGCTATCTAGTGTACATGCTGTGTGATGGTAATGATGAGGATTTAGGCCTTTGTCAGGGGTCAAGTTCATGTCCCTGGTCAATTGTCCTAGGCACAACTCTGACCTCATCAAGGGATAACCCCACTTTGAAAACTCTTATCGGTTGTGTTCACACGTGCCCAGGACTATGGGTTATTGGATATCACATTGAGCCATAGCTAATCAAAGCTCGGGCGTGTCTAGGCATTAGAAATGCCTCACAATCCAAAATGGGCCTCACTCCCACCGGAGCCAGCATTTCACTATGTATTTTTCAGTACATGTTCTCATAAGTCCTTTAAATGACCACAAAACCCAACATTGGTTCTCATTTATTCCCCAAAAATTCAAATATTCAATTCCTTGGCTATTTTTGAAAGAGTTTTGACTGCGGACCAACTCCAAAGGATGGGTTTGCCTATATCTAACTGGTGCATGATGTGTTTTGAGTGAAGAGGAGACCAGCACCCACCTCTCCATCCACTGCATAGTGGCCGAGGAATTGTGGGGGGAATTCCTACAACTCTTCGGGGGGTCTTGGGTAAGCCCACAAATGGTCCCCCTCCTCTTCAGCCTGCTCCAATATCTGCCATGGCCACATTGTCAGCCATGTTGTGGGTCACTTGGAAGGAGCAGAACCGTAGAATTTTCTGTGGAGAAAAGGCTCCTTTTTGAGGTCCAAAAGGAGCGGATAAGAACTATGTGATCTTTTGGGCCAAGAATCACAAACACTTAAAGAACTGGCAAGCTTTGGGCCGCCTTAGAACTCCATGTGTCTCTTGAGCCTCATTATGGAGGCCACCCGAACCAGGCCACGTCAAACTTAACTTCGATGGATGCTTCCTTGGTAACCCTAGGCCAATTGGCATTCGGGGCATCGTCAGGGACTGCCTTGGCAACACCATCATGTCCTTCTCCAAATCCATCAGCCACATTGATAGCATCACTGCGGAGAATCCCTCACCCTACTCGAGGGCTTGAGAACTTTCAACCCTGCTTGGACCAATCTTCTTATCATCGAGGGGGATCCAGGTGTCATGGCTTGGGCATAAGGATATGTTGCTCACCCTTGGAGACAAGCTTGCATTTTTTACAAAAATTTGACATTTGCAGGCGTATATGTACCTCTTGGACACATATATGGTGCAAGTCCAACTCCATTGTTGACACCCTCGCTAAGGAGGGGCCATGCAGTCCGACGGAGGGGGAATCTCTTGACAGTTTTTGGAGATCGTGGCTCCTCGCTACTCTTTTTTGGGTTCGTACAGTGGATGTATGGCATCTTTGGACATAGGCCCCCATCTTGGTGGTTTTTGTATGTTGCTCCTCTGGGTGGAATGCCACTTTTTGTAGTTGTACATCCTTATTATTAAGGGATTGTCTACAAAGAGACCATTTATCTTTTGTACATGGAGGTCACAATCATTCTTACTTCCTTAGATTCTAAATTGGATGGCTTGGGGTGAGTCACGAAGTCCGAGATTTGTTTTTTTTGGAACTTTGTGTCTATTCAATGAGACTTTTACAACCACCCATTTTGAAATATAAGATACAAGAATGATTGTGACCTCCATGTATAAAAATAAATGGTCTCTTTGTAGACAATCCCTGTTATTTATGGGCAATGATTTCATGTAACGGTTGTATGGTAATATGATGCAACAACCTTCAACCACCATGTTATGGCCATTTGTTTGATCAAAATTTCGAAATATACACTCTTTTCATTCTAATGAACAATCACAAAAAAAGAAAACTTTGAAAACAGGACCTAGATAGTATTTTTTTAGCCCAATTAACATAGGCTGTTCAG